GGCCTAGTCCTGCAATTTCAAAGCAGCGACTGTGGTGATTTTTTGTGCTCAGAAGAATTCACAGAAAATTCTTTTGAGGGTCCGTAGATTAGGTCATGATCTTTCCATGAAGAATTGAAGGAAATTTTCAAAAAATTGAAGGAAATCATTTTGCCTGTGAAATAATTGCCGTGCTGATTCGGAGCATTTCCATTTTTGCCTCTACCATGTGTGGCTAACAGAAGGACAACTTTGGTGGTTTTTTGTGCTCAGAAGAATTCATAGAAATTTCTAAATTTGAAGGTCCGTAGATTAGGTCGTGATCTTTCCAGGGAAAATATCAGAAAAAATAAAAAAATCATTTTCCCCATGAAATAATTGTCGCGCCGGTTTGGCGCGTTTCCATTTTTGCCAATCTACCATGTGTCAGCTAACAGAAGACGCACGGCAACTTTGGTGATTTCTCATGCTTAGAATAATTCACAAACAATTCTAAAAATTTGAGGGGCGGTAGATCAGGTCATGATCTCTCCAGAAAAAGTATCAAAGAAAAATAAAAAAATCATTCTGCCCGTCAAATAATTTCTGCTCTGATTTGGCATACCTCCATTTTTGCCACTCTGGGACCAAGGCCACACCCGGCACAGACCTACCAGTGGGTCGCATGCCTATACCGGTCCCCCGAGTTTCTAAAGGAGGGTATAGAGGTGGTATGAGGGGCCACACAAAGAGCACTGTTCCTGTTTCAAAGAGGCTGGAATGACTGCTGGTCCACCTTCCAGAAGGCCACTCTCCCATACTATCCAGTGTGGACAGTGAGTGGGCAGGGATGTCCTCAGTTTGTGAGAAAAGACCGTGAGATAGGACTTGTTATTGGTTTGGTTGGAGGACTTGGACGAGGACTTGGACAGATAGGATAGAAGAAATGGTGGATTATCGGTAAGTACCAAGTACTTAGCCATTGAGGGAACCTGCTAAAGTGAATGGAACTCCCTACATGAAAAAAACTCGTGGAATAATTTACGGACTCGTTCGAGTAGTTCATAGATTTGGGATCTTTCCCTGGTTTGGACTTTACCCTCCTGTGATGATTTCCCCCCTCCCTGCGGTTCCTGGAGGCTTCCTTGGCCTCTTCGTCTCCATGTAGGCATTGACGGTCTTGCCTCAAGGGCACACACATTATTACTATTGGGTAAGTGGCTTTACGCGGAATAACCACAAACATTAACATAAGATTGCATGGTTGGAAATGTGTTTGTTGGCTAGAGAATCAAATAAAGATTGAATGAAACCAAGGCTTCCAATTGTGATAGGTTTGTGTGTACAGTCCTTGCAAATGTTTGTAGTTCAAGTGACGCTACTTGAGCTGCAATCCTGCATTTGTGATGGCTCTTCCCCCCACCTCCTCCCCCCCCCCCCCCCCCTTCCCCTCTCTCTCCCCCTCCCAGTGGCCCCTGTTTTCTCTCGTCCCAAAGCAGCTGTCATTCTGTGTTGCAAAGAGATGACGAGTGCAATCTCTGAAAAGCATGAATCGGTTAAGTAGATTGGATGAAACGGAGTTTGACGGGTGTTTGCGATATGTGGATATAACTTTGATGCATGTTGAAAATTGTGTGCACTACAAGGGGGCTGATGTGTGTTTCCTGTGTTATGGCTTTTCATCTGAGGGGAACAGGCAATGTTGCGTTCAACAGGATGGAGTTCGAGGATGCATACGAGAACTACACATTGGCACTGCAGCTTGAAGTTGACGACAAACAGCTAAACGCGTTGCTGTACTGTAACAGAGCGGCTGCCAGCTCTGCACTGGGAAACCATATGGATGCCCTTGCGGATTGCATGTAAGTTCCTGTTGCACAGCATGTTTGGATTGTGTTTGAGTTGTCATGCAATCTGCTCTGCGTGTGGCATCCCGGTGCGAATGTGTTTTGGCCTTTGGTTTGCCTTCATTCTTGTATACACGTTCCTGCATGATGGACACTGATCCGCATTCAGCTTGATCTGTTGACAGGGTACTGTTGCGCAACTGCTTCTGGCTGCAGGTAATGAGTATTTCCAAGGGTGTATGTCTGTATGGGCAAACTTTTTGCCTCTTCTTCTTGTGCTTCTCATCACGTCAGAGAACTGAACTAGATACAGTGGGAATGGATGGACCACCGTCTTCTTCACCCGAATAAAACGCCCGTTCATTCATTATTTATAGCTGTAATTTGTGCAATTTTCAGTCTAGATACAGCCATAATGACCGGGCTTTGTATTCAGGCGAAGACGATAGCATCAGCATGCCGCCTCGTCTTCATGGTTGTCACAATTTCCATCATTACTACTGTGATTATTGTCATTGTCGGCAAAATTGCCTTCATTATGGTTGTGATTGTCGTCATAATTGTCGTCATAATTGCCTTCAGTGGTCGACATCCATTTTCTCGATTGTGTAATTACGATCATCTCAATCGAGGAACGTTGTCATGAAGACCGTGTCATCATCATGCTAACCATCCTTTTTTTCTTTTCCTTTTTTTGTTAACACCGCCTGTGACCTCTACTGGGGCGAGTGGTAAGAGCCGCCCCTTCTAGTAGCCATCCCTGGTTACTGCATCTATTGGTGGGGTCGGCCATCGCACCCACTCTAACTTCCTGAACACTGCCAGACAAAAGGGCTCCTGAGTGTGTGTATTCTGCAGACCGCAGTCTTCCATATTGTTTTTTTTCTTTTTTTTCTTTTCTTTTTTCACGTCAGACAGTCACACGGATTTTTTCCGGCATATGGGTATGCCGGCCGGGTTAACTCGTTACTCGCGGAATAATGTATACGTAACCAGTTGCAGTCTTCTATATTGTAAACCGTGGACACTGGACTCCCATCAATAAATTTGCTATGGGCAATGGATTGGCAGAGTGGTCAGAGTGGGAGGATGCTGTGTAAGATTTTTTGCTAATGAATTATACTGGATGTGCGAGCATCATTTTTTGCTATGAAGACTGGGTGTCATGAAAATTTTCATGTCTTGTCAGCGAACACGGTAACCTGTTTGCCGTCAAAGACTCGTTGCGTTGACTTGTACACGTACGGTGACGCACGCATAAATTTTGCCCTGCATTCTTCTGCTTCGCTGATGGTTGTGCCGCTGTCTATCCTTCGGCTCCATCTTGCCACGCCTTGTTTGTCGTATTCAGTCTGCCATTCCCACCCCGCCCTTGGAAAAGAAAGTAAAAGAGAAGCAAATAAAACTTACCTATTTCCCTGTGCCTGCTCTCTGGCGGGTTTCCAGAGCTGCTATTTCCCTGGACGAGCAATGCACAAGAGCCTACAGCAGGCGGGCAGATGTCTACATCGCAATTTGGGACTACGAGGGGGCACTGAAGGACCTGATGGTGGTGCTTGAACGTGGAGGGGAGTGCGTACAGGAGGTTGAAGAAAAGATAACAGCTGTGAGGCGCCGGGTATGTTTCAAGAACCCTGTTGACTGACTGGATTGGATTGCCTTCACGTTGCCTGATGCACAGAGTCTTTATGAACGTTTTGTTGAGTGCCGGGTCCGTTTTTTCTTTTTCTTCTTCTCTTTTAACCCAGCTTTGGACCACTAGGGGGAGTGATATGAGTGTCTTCCCCTAGTAGGCATTCTGCTTGCGCTCCAATCTATTGGTGGGGAGCAGACCTCCTGGAAACCGGGTCCAGCGTCCTTGCTGTCACTGTGCTTAGTTTCTTGCTCTCAAGTCTCTACCTTCCGCTGGTTGGGTGGTTTAAAGTTTAAACAGTCGTGAAAAGCCTGGCACAGGATGTTGTGGAGGTAAATCCTAGGGAGAGGTACGTGTGAAGCCTCTGAGGGCTACTCGTGAGCTCTTGGGAGGGGTACGCATACTGTGAGGGATATGGCAGAACATCTGGAAGGTAAATGCACATGGTGGGAGGTGATGGGTAGTCCCGTGAGGGACACTGGTACGCATGATGCCCGGCATGTCAGCAAGCGACCGCTATTAGTGGACGAATTTGTATTGATAATGGAACTTCATCAGGTGGAATGACAATACTTTTTTTTTTTTTTTTTTTTTTTTTTGAAAACAAATGCTCCAGTCTATTCGTGGGGAGCAACACGTGCTGGGAACCGGGCCCAGCATCCCATATGAAATTGTACAGATCATTGAGAACATTTGAGATACCGGGGCCATAGGTGGAATGACAATACTAAAACCATGTCCTCCTGGTATATGAACAGGTGACTGTTGTTCTCCTCTGGCGGAAAATCTCACGTGCCTTGTTTGATGTAGGATTTTGAGCATTTGTGTAGGAGAGGGAAAATCAGAAGTGTATAATATATGGGCATCTTCGCTCTCTGTTTTTAATGATGTTTATGCATGTTCATTAATGCTATTCGAGCTTGTACCATAAGGGACAAACCACAAATTAATAAAGGATAAGAAAAGCAGTACGGAAACTTGGAAAACAAACAAAGAAAGAGGAAGGAAAAACAGCAGCTGACAGACGGTTTCGAGGACTTTCACTGACTCGTCAGCAGGGTGAACCCTCAACAATCTGCGGAATGATGCTTTGAGTCATGAACCGTGGGGCTGTTTTTGAGATGGATGTGAACATGTGCCTGAAAACCTTGAAAGAGTTTCTTGTGCGTGTGTCTCCAAGGGCTCAGATCATATAACGCTAACAGAATGAAGCTGCAGGTACGAAGACCCGAGTCTGACAAATCTTTTTGTTTCTTGTGCGTGTGTCTGGTGCCCACATGCGTATACTTGCGAACACGAACTCGTTATATTTTTAAGCTGAGAAAGCATTCGGGAGAGCTCGACTACTATGCCGTTCTGGCGTTGACATCATCATGCTCAGCAACAGAAATCAAGGCTTCTTATAGGTAAAGTGTTGAGTGCCCCATCTGCGCGATGTGCCCAAAATAGGAGGAAGTGGGAAATATTATATTTCAAATATACACACACGCACACGCACACATATGCTCGGGAAGAACAAAATGGGAAACCTTGATGTTTGCATATACGAATACAACTCTGATGCATATGCTCGGGAAAAGAAAATTCACACACACATATTGGTGGAGGTAGGGTTTGAACCAAGGCAGTGAGGCTCAGGGCACCAATGGACAGATGAACCACCAAGGCAGACCAATGTGCATGCGCGCACCCACGGAAACATTCCTTATTTTTGTTAGCAATTCTTAACTGTGTGTCTCGTTCTGATAGAAGATGCCGGTTTGAAGTCTAGGATCATTGCAGAATGTCCGTTGGTACTCCGTCAGGTAAGCAGATGCTGCTGCTATGGTTTCTCTCTTCTTCAAGGAATGAGGGAGTTTGGGCGATCAAGGGATGGCGAGGTATTTGCGAGTGTGAGGTAGATCGAGTGACAGTCATTGGTTCGGTCTGATTCGTAGAATAATCCGTATAAATGAAAGATGGATGTGTTGTGATGGTAGGTGGTTTTTGGAATGATGGAAGAGCTCATCCTGAATGGAATCACATGTAACAGTTGGTTGATAAACAGGCTGTGGACGCTGGATCCGTTTTCAGCAGGTGCCGCTCCCTGCCTTTAGACTGGAGCATACTTTTTTTTTTTTTTTTGGGACCATTTCTCGATTTATGCGCGTCATCCGTGCGCAGGGGCCATGCTAATCTTCTCTGTATCGTTCCAATTTTAACGGATGTCCCGAAGGACGGAGCATCCAAGATTCTCGCTAATCATGGCACCTTCTTTGTTTTTTTCTGGGGGGGAGCATCCAAGATTCTCGCAAAAAAAAAAAAAAGTGTCGTGATTTTTACTGGTGAATGTGCATAGATGTAGATTTTCATCAATAGATCATATGTTCAAATCGCCAAGGTATGCGCATGTAGGTAGCCTGATATAGGTATTCGAGGGCGAAGTCCTGAATGTTATGATCATGTAGCTGTTATAGAACTGATCCTGTGTTCAAATCTTGTGGTAATATCGTTTCTTCTCAGTTGCCAATGTCAATTGCTCCTACCCTTCCCCCGTTTATGTGCTGAGGCATAGTCGCAACTGGCCTCGGTTTGTTCTTTTTTCTTTTCTTTTTTTCAATAGCTAGGACCTTCCCACCAGCAGCTGAGCTCAAAACCCCTCGCATAATTAAAGCATGGACGACCAGGTCGAAGCACCGGCTTACAGAGCGGTCACCCAGACACCAGACTTGAAGGTGGTATCATGGAACATCAATGCCCTTGCCAGAGTCCTCAACAACCAGCAAAAATGGGATAACATCACAAGGGCGGTGGACTGGTATGGAGCTTGCCCTCCGGACATCCTCTGCTTACAGGGGACTCATCTGACAACGTCGCTTGAGCACCAGCAAATGCAGCAAGAAATCCAGCGTAGACTGAGATGGGTTAAACATGCCCATTGGGCACCAGCACCAAGACCTGGCTCCTCAGGCACGGCCTCTGTTTGTTCTAATCATTCAGGATGTGGCTTTTACCCTCGTCCCCCTTTTCGAGTAAGACAAACAGGCAAAAAAAAAAAAAAAGAACATGAAATTTCACCCCCAAACCCTAATTTCAGTTTTGGACCTGTTACTCAGGAGCTGAAACTGGGGGTCCCCCGTTAACCACGTGTGCCCTTTTTTTGTAATGTGCTTGTGGATGATCCCTCTGTGTCACAGGAAGCTTGCTCTGAAGTACCATCCTGACAAGGGCGGTTTGCACATGGAAGCGAGCTTTAAATTCATCTCCAGGGTGGGTTTAGTTTACCGACCTTAACCCCGCGTTTGCAGAATGATTGATCATCTTGACGACGGCGCTTTCTGCTGTGCGGCTATGATTTATATGCTCTTCGCTCTCTTTCATTGGAATTTGGTCTTTTACAAAAACTGGACTGGTTAGAGTTAGGGGCTTGCCACACCATTGTCGAAACGAAAAAGAATGAATGCATCTTCCCGCAGAAAAGGGCGAGACGCATCCGCTACTGTGAATAGCAACGGATGCATCTTACCACTTTCTGCAGAAAGATGCACTCGTTCGTTATGCCAGCTCTCTCTCTCTCTCTCTACACTAGGCTAATTTGCTGGGTGCCATCAACTACCACTATCCCTCAAACTCATCCTTTGACTGAAGGCACAAGTATGCAGTGCTCTTCAGTGACAGTCTCGGATGTAAAAATTGTGTTGACATCCTACTCTATTGTATAGTGATCCTTTCAGTAAAGCTATCCTGAGATGCTTGAAATGACTCTGAAATGCTTTCAGTAAAGGAAAGACGAAGAGCAGGAAAATTATTGAGAACGAAGGGGGATGGAAAACAATGCGATTAAAGCGATGTGATGAGGGATAGAGCAGGGAAGGTGAATGGAAAGACAAGGGCTCGTTAGCTTTGCTCATGTCCATTTTTGTCACTGCTAGAGGTGTGCGGGAAGGTAGCGGGAACATGGGAAGGGGGAGAGTGGGAAGGTAGCGGGAACGTGCCCGCGTACGTGTGCGCCAGGTGGGGGAGTGGGAAGGTAGCGGGAAGCGAGACGATCAGAGGTGGGAGTGGGAAGGTAGCGGGAAGCGAGACGATCAGAGGTGGGAGTGGGAAGGTAGCGGGAAGCGAGACGATCAGAGGTGGGAGTGGGAAGGTAGCGGGAAGCGAGACGATCAGAGGTGGGAGTGGGAAGGTAGCGGGAAGCGAGACGATCGGGGTGGGGAGGATGACGTTTTGACGGTACAGGTGGGTGATTGGGATGGTGAGCGTGTGTGGAGCACAAGGGGCGTGATGGGGGCATGTGGGGGGGACCAGCGATTGGGCGCGATCCTGACGATTCGGGAAGGAGGGGAATGGGGCTCGAAACGGGTGCGAAGAAGAAGCGAAGAATTAGAAGAAGAAGAAGAAGAACCGCGATGGCGGGCGTTGGCTGGCGACGTCGAAGTTCTGCGTCGAAGTCCGGCGGAGCTACAGAACTGCAGGGCAGGGAACGAGGGGACCCGTCTTCCTCCGAACACAACGCACCCTCATTTTGACTGTATCTGGCCGGAAATATAACTCATATACATTCATTTTAGGGTGCATTATCTTTGGGGGAAGACGGTAGGGGGTACAACGTGAGAATGTGGGAGGGAACGGGGGCTGGTAGTTCCCGCCCTCACCGATTTGAAATCGTGGCCATCTGGGCCGTCGATCTTTGAGATCGACGATCCAGATTGGGCCCGATTTCGAATCGGTGAAATCGGGCCTGCCGGCCCTGTCTTTTTTTTTTTTTTTTCGTGGTCTGCGTAGTCTGCCATGAGGGCGAAAAGCCCCCCAGCGCCTGGAAAAAAAAAAAAAACCCTACACTGATGCGCTGAAGGCGCCCGGTGGCCAACCGGGCGTGACAACCTGCCAGGTGGCACGGCCGCCCCCCTGGGCGACGACCAGGCCGACGGGTGGCCCGGGGACCAGCCTAGGTTTTTCTTTGTTTTTTGAATGAACAACCCGTTGTTATGGTGGGGGTGCTGATAAGAGCAGGCACCACTTGCAGTCCCAGGAAGGCTCCATCCATTGGTGGGGAGCAGCACCTGCTGGAAAGCGGGCCCGGCGTGTTTTTGTTTTAGTTCGAGGTTGCCTGTTCCTTTTGCCGGGTTTCTGCATCCCTCGGTTGTACTTACATGCATTTGTGGGTGTAGCAGTCGTGTACGCCGAAATTTTCTGGCTTGTGTGATCAAAACCAGTGTTGGTTGTTCACATTGGGCGGATGCGGGCCTGGATGTGGACATCTCCGGTCGGGGACAGTTTGGGTCAGTGTCTGTGTATGATTCTGTGCGGGAGGTTGCAGTACGAGTACTCTTCAGAGAGCACGGTAGCTCTGCAGCACATCATTGAGCACATGGCAGTGGTTGCTGATCAGGAATATGACTCTGAGCAGCTGTAATTGACCCGAGAGTTGGTGGTTGTACTTATTGCTGGGTTTCTGCATCCATCGTTTGGCAGGCATATAAGGTACTTTCAGATCCTACGCAACGGTACAAGTATGACAGCTCTGTGGCCCGGGATAAGCATGTTCACAGAGTTCGCACAGTGATCCCGTAATGCTCCCGGGTTGGGAAAAGCGATGAGCAAATGAGGTGGGCCTGCATCATGGACAAGTGGGAAAGGAGAGGTGAAAACTTGCAGCTGGATGGTGCGCTTTTCAGCTCGCTACTCTTATCAGGGTAAGCATCCCTTTCTGGAGCTCGACGAGGAAGCAGCATAAGAAGAGTCAGATGTATTCATTGTGGCAAAGTGGCCGGCTAAATGTTGAGGTAAGAACCACTGCGGTCTTTGTTTGCTTGCTTGCTTGATGACCTCCGGGCTGATGAGGCAGCAGGTGCACCTTCAACTTCATTGATGCTCCAATTTGGCTACATATGCCAGGAGGGCGGTGTACGCTGGAGCACCAAGTGAAGAGGAAGCAAATGGACCTGATCTCAGGTCTCAGGTCTCACAGTTCTTCGAGAGCTTCTGATCTGTGCCATAGGTGACCCGCCCTATCTGAAAGCACGAGGAAACTGCAGGGGGTTGGACCTTGTATAGGTGGGGACTTGATCTCCCAGGCTTTCTTGTACACAGAGGACCTGTTGAGGATGCTGAGGCTGTTGCAATCAGTGTGTCTCCATGTGTATGTGTGTGTGTAAAGAGGGACAGAAATATACACAGAGGAAAACTCACACCCACACACACACAGAGAGAGAGAGAGAGAGAGAGAGAGAGAGAGAGAGAGAGAGAGAGAGAGAGAGAGAGAGAGAGAGAGAGAGAGAGA